CTTAAGACCGATAGATATAAGGGATTATAATTTCTTTGTATTCTGACTGGAAGTAAAGCAATGCATACTTTCTTTAAACACGACCAGACCCGATTTTCAGGAAGGGGTCAAGTTGCTTGACCCATGCTGCTTGGATGACACGAAGACCGTTAGGCTCGGCAACCTTGTAGTTCTTGACCATGACAACGAAGACGCCATGGAGTCTGTTGAGAACATTGAGTCAAAACTGATTAACATTACAGTGGGGGAAGGGGGGGGGGGTAATCGTTTCTATGAATGGAAGGGGTACTAAACTATACTATTATCCTATACTAATATACTATATTACCCTACTATACTACTATAATATACTAACTACTAATAACGTCACATTAGGGATGGCGTCGGTAGGTCGCCGGGCGCGAGCTCTTAATACCCCCCCCCCCCCGCACACCTCCACATGGGCCAGACGCCGGGTCTCCCCGCCGCCAGACCACGCTGGGAACCTCCCCCTTGGCCTGGGTGACGTCCGGTCGACTGTAGACGCTGCGTTTAAAGCGTTCGTGGTCCACTCTCCGTGGGTCAGAACGGCTTCCACTACTGGGGTGGGGGTGGGGGTGGTTGTTGCGTTGCCACCCTCACCGTCCACGGAGTCGTCCGGTCGGGACATATAGATAAAGCGCTTGAATTTATATACTTTATATTAAATGAATCTGTGTGTAAAAAAATAATAACAATCCTAACCTCAAACGCGCTGGCGTAAAAAAACACAAATAAAGAAGAGGCGATACTTGCTTTTTACCCCAGCTTGTGTACATTGGCGACGGGTCGTTCCTATGTAGTACACACAGGTGGCCCTGCAGGGGGTAAGCGACTCCGGCACTTGGGGGTAATCTTGTCTGACCACAACTTTTCAACCAGAACCACATCGCCAGTAACGCCGTTAAATAAATTATGACAAATTCCAACACCTTGTCCTGAATATATTTATAGGGTGTAGAATACTACAATTATAATAACATTCATAAATTGTGAGTTTGATATATTTTGGAATAAATCCTTTATGAAATGTAATATCGAGCAATTGGTGTGTGTGGGGGGGGGGTGGTGGAGAATGGACTGAAAACTTGACAAAACATGAGTTCAATTAACACATTTATAAGAATCCCAAATAGTACTCTCCCTCTCTCTCTCTCTTTCCAGCACTCAACCCCATCAAGGCTTGAAACCGCACATTTTTTTTCATGCATTTGACCTATATTAAAATTCTATTGACCCACACCCTGTTTTACACCGCAGATTTATTTCACCAACTATTTCAGAAAAAGTAAAAGAAAATATTTCGCACTAAACGCACATGCGATATTTTAATTTAAAAAAAAAAAAAAAAAGAATCTCATTTGCACAATTATGGGGTATTTTATTTCGCGAACTTATAATTCCTTCATCTTCTCTTGACAAGATAGGAAGACAAGATTTTTAGGGGTTGGAGTAAGTATGTGTGGCTGAAAATTTGATCGACTTGTTGTTGTCATCTACTCCAAATTTCAGCTCGATAGCTTGACGGGAATTTGTTTAATTAGCCGTCCGAACATTTTGTCANAAAAAATAAAAGAAAATATTTCGCACAAAACGCACATGCGATATTTTAATTTAAAAAAAAAAAAAAAAAGAATCTCATTTGCACAATTATGGGGTATTTTATTTCGCGAACTTATAATTCCTTCATCTTCTCTTGACAAGATAGGAAGACAAGATTTTTAGGGGTTGGAGTAAGTATGTGTGGCTGAAAATTTGATCGACTTGTTGTTGTCATCTACTCCAAATTTCAGCTCGATAGCTTGACGGGAATTTGTTTAATTAGCCGTCCGAACATTTTGTCAGCCAGCCAGACACGAACAAAAGCGAATTTAGTATAAAGGATTTACAAATATAGCTTGGCCTCATCAACAAGTAGATAACAATTTTGCTATTTAATGTTCAAATTTAAAATGTAATAATAATAATAATAATTATAACTATTAAAGTTTTTTTTTAAATATCATAAAAAAATCATTGACCTACCTGCATATTCCACAAAATATCACACTCTGTTTTCATTTTCACTCTCTGGAGTGAAGCAGCACGATGGTACTGAACAATTCTGAAAAATCTTTGCATATATTCTTCATTCTTTATATTCTGAAGTGTATGCATGTGTCGGTTGAAAACATATATTTTAATAGGTGTTTTATAGTATTTGGGGTGGTTGAGCTTTAGGGTTGGGGGTGGGGGGGGTGTCGTACGACTAATGAAATGTTATTTTTAGCGCACATTAAAAAACAAATCTGAATGGCACAGGTCGTTAAAAAAAAAACATTGTTTATCTCGAGACGCGATCTGCTGGAACATATTACAGGATCCGTGTTAAAGAAGGTCTTCATAATCTAATGTTCGCATCGAGACTTTAATAGACACGAGCATAATATTTACAACAACATCGCCGAGTCTGACCTACAAAATGACAAGGGATAACGACGTTCACTTCAACTCTCTGCCATCTAAAAATTAACTTTTATATTTATGCACTTCTACAATTTTTTTTTCTTTGTCACACTGCAAAGATCGACATCAAATAGTAATTTAAAAAAAAAAATGAAACGGACATGATTTAACAACATTGGTAAAGATAGGCAATTTTGATTATTGCAAATGAAAAATTAATAAGAATAAAAATAGTTATAAGAAAGTTTTATTAAGTAAGAAGTTGAACTGAAGAAGACACGGTGTTTATCTTTTAAAAGTTAATGCGTTGGCGTGTAATAAAAATGTGAGATATTATTCAGGCGCAGTTGGTGGTTCAGGTTAGCTTTTCTTTTAAAGTAATCAATTTTAATCAAGCTTATAACAATGAAGTTTCTCAACTTATTGAGACAATGGCATAGGTTGCTATGAAACTTACATTCGTGCATAATGAAGATGTCTGTAAATAATAATTTTAAAAAAATCATTAAGTAAAAATAAAATTTAAATACATACTACTAATGTTGTACTAATTAACACTGATATCTTTCTTGAAATTATACAGGTAATAAGCTAAATAGGATTGGAACTTATTTCTGAAAACATATAATAAATCATGCATTTTAATGGGAAAATAGCTCCCACAGGGCTACCGGTTGCGATGTTTCGCAGTTGGAAAGTTAGGCAGAGCCAGGGTAGGGATCATGATTACAAGTTGCCGTTGACGGGTATGAGGCCAGAGGTGAGGGTGGTAACCTCTGGCCGAGGATTCAAATAATGCAGCCGTGAGAACGCTGCCCCTAGGCAACCGTTTCGTCCCAGCTATAGAGTGAACTAGTCATGTTGTGGAAACCCACTGTGGAATCCCTCTTATAGGGCGTCCGACGCTTTCCCGGGATGGGTGGGGGAAGATATTAGGACGTAAATTTTTCCATCCCAACTCCTGAGAAAGTCGATCGAGTGCACTGTATGGGGGCCGTCCTGACGAGTGGGCATCTCCAACGTGCAGCTCCGCGACCCGATACGTCGGACCGGGGAGGGGTAATTTGGGGGGGGGGGTGGGCATAAAGAGTCTTAGACTCGCCCCGCTGACGCCATTTCTTAATGTAACAATGGGAAAATATAAGTATGGGATCTCATATTTAGTGCTGAGCTAGTTTATTTTTTAAAGCCGATACAATGTTAAAAGCTAATTTTTGAAGAAAAATTATATAAAAATTAGATCTAACCCCAGTTATTCTAGACGAAGCTAGAAAAAACATCAGAAAAACGAAAAACAAGAACATTTGATTAAGAATACCAAAAATTAAACGCATTTCAGTCAATAAAAGAGAAACGCAAATATTATTATTACTATTATTATCATTATTACAGTGGTCTTATATAGCGCGGTACCCCAGCCTAGGGCTGGGCTCACCGCGCCTCATATAAAAACATTGGAAAAAATAAACATGACATTAAAAAACAGTCACATACATTTACTCATTTAAAAACAGCTTTATAAAAATCTTGACCTCGCCACCCCCATAACTATTTACCTAGTTTTTATATTTTCATAGATGTTAAAATGCCTTAAAAATCATTTAGTACTGTTTAATGTATCCGGCTGTAACAATAACCAGCGGAGTTATTCTGAAGTGTCATCAATTATCATTTTTTTAAAATCGTTTTCATTATTCTCTCTTAACTGTAGGCTTATTTAGAAAACTAAGTACACCGTACCAGATTTGCAGTTTGATGACTTTGCCAAAGTGACCCTGTCAGCTATACAATAAATAAAATAACCATTTCCATTTTGAATGTGAACACCTTTTACGCTGAACGTTTGGGATCCATTGGAGTTTTTTTGAAAATACTTGGGACAATTTAAATCTCATATGTTTAGTCCACCTGATAAACAGTTGACGTCTCGTAATCGTTAATTACTAACGTAATCTATTAGGTCAGCGTTTCCCAAACGTTTCTATGCCCTGACTTGTCTCAGACCCCTTTACGACATGTTGTAGTATTTCTCGCACCCAGTACAAAAGTAAAGTAAAAATTCATTTAACATTTGAAAATGATGTACTTGTCATTTTATTATCATATTATAAAAACGACTGTATAATTTAGAAAAAAAAACAACAACATATGACTTATTGCATAAAGGAAAATGTCAATGGAGAAACCGTCCAAGAAGTACTTCACGCTGTTTTTGGACACATTTTACCCCCCCCCCCCTTCTCCCCACAGTCAAATCTCAGACCCCCCCCCCCTTTTTTTCCGTTAAGTAAGACACGATTTTGAACAAAAAAATGCATCTTTACCCCACCCCCCTGTCACAAATGGTCATACTTTCTTAGACGCTCCCCCCCCTCCACTTTTTATTTTCTTCCGGAGCATGACGTATTTTATGGACGGTCCCAAATGTTAAATATTTATGATGCATATTCCTGTTAATATAAAACCTCAATGTTTAAGTCTTCTATGTAGCAATTGAAGTTTCCAAATACCAGTTTGAGAAACAGTGTATCAGCTAACGATAACGAGATATTAAGCAGAGCCATCGCAGTGAAACTTTTCATTGTGCTAGGCAAGTGGAGTTGTTGACATGGCGACACTTGGGTACATTATTGTGTTGGGCACGCTTTGCTCTGTTGCTTTCTCACAGGTGAGTGTACATTTAATCTGAGACTATGGTCCTCTCAGTAGTATCAGTCAGTTGCAATAGATTGTTACGCTCTAGTGCTCTGTCAGAGTCGTAAAACCTGTTGTTTTTTCTAAAGCAATTGTCCGCATCAATTCAAAAATGACTGACAACTATTCTGAAAACATAATCTTCTTTCATCGACCTCAACGGAGAGTCGTACCCAACATTTTAGGATGAACGATACTATGCAAATGATAACAGAAATGGTTTCCATTAAAAACATCTTTTGTTTACTAATCTTATTTCTTGGGGGCTCGATATTACCACAGCTCTGATTACCCCTGGGTTAGTGTCAGCGTATATTTCAGCTTTCAAAAACTCAGTTGCCAGCTCCAAGGAGTAGTTTGGTCATCAATTCGGGGTGGGGGGTCTTGGGAGAGGGGGGCTGGTTTGCAATCAAAATACAATTTGTGTGAGTAAATCCACTCAAATTCTTATGTAAGTTAACACAAACAAATACACATAATATAGTCCTGCTATTTTCTCTAAATTGTGAGAAAAAGTCTTAGGCAAGCACACTGGGAGTTAAGTATTAACAACGCAATTCTCTAGAAAGATAATATTCTGGTTGATTTATTGAGATCGAGATAGCAAAGGCCAATCACACTTTTTCTTAATGATTTCTTACAGTGTTTACACACAAAATGAGGTAACATTTTTTACTGAAAACACCCAAATTATGTAATTTAAAAAAATTAAAACTAAAACAAAAAAAAAACAAAACACACGTAATCTTCGTGGTGCCGTAGTCATCGGCTTAAAAACTTAGTAACTACGACGAAAGCGTAGGGGTAAACAGGTCTGTTAACAGCTTATTTCATTTTTATTTTCGATATTTTAATAAATGCAAAGCGCTTAGAGCTGTAAGGTAAGCGCTATATAAAAATGCCTAAATAAATAAATAAATATTTATACGCTTTTTTTTTGTTTTTGCGAAGATAAATTCCTAAAGCATCTGCAGCAAAAATGTAACATAAATAAATAAGTACTCGTATGAAGAATTTATTTGTTAATTTGTTTTTAGATGCCTCCCGTCCCCACCCCACCCCACCTTTCCTAGTTAAGTTGTTTTACTTGCCGTAAAAACATACCCCACCCCTGTGTGTTATTTCCTCAAAATTTCTGATGACTGTTTATATATTTTCCTTAAAAAAAATGTATGCCTCGGCATTTTCTCCTACCGGTACATAGTTATAGACCAACCCCTAATAACCTCATCAAGCATCAAATCTTAGAAAAGCTGGCAGGTTTGACGATATACACAACCAGAAAAAGAAACAAAAAAAATATGTGTGAAATGCATCCACATAGTTTTTATTTGAAGTGTGAAGCAATATGGGAAAAATTAAAGTATAATAACATACGCCTTTGTCTGTGTTTGCGACACTAAAAAAAAACTTTTATTATAAAATTAAATTATTCATTGTCAGTCAAGGTTCATACGTTTTTAAAATATTTGTTTCTCCAACGTCATTTTAAATACATAATCTCAAAAGCGTTGGATTCTATTTCAAAGCAAGTCAATTACAAAAATCGATTGAATCTCAAAGCGTTGCTCTAGCATTCCTAAAGTTAATCGTGAAAGATATTGTCCAATTCGTTCATGATCTAAGAATGGCTCTCACATTAAACGGCTTGGGGGTCCTGGAAAATCCAAAGCTTCCTTCTAATGGCGGAATGTTGATGGGGTCTTCAGGCAGAAACTGGAACCGCTGGATAAACGCCGTCATGAAAAGGTACAGCTGCATCACGGCCAAGGGCTCCCCCAAGCAATTCCTCCTCCCGACTGAGAACGGCAGAAACTCCTTCTTGATGGTGATCACACCGTTCTCCAGAAATCTTTCGGGACGGAAGTTCATCGGGTCACCCCAGACCTTTTCATCCCACATCAAGGAGTCCAGCACCGGGATGACGGTGGTGTTCTTGGGTATGAAGAGGCTGTTGAGGGTCGTGTCCCTGCCCGTATCACGATCGATGCTGAGCGGGATCAGGCTGCTGAACCTCTGCGTCTCCATGATGAATGCGCTGACGTACTTCAGACTGGGTTTATGCGCCAGCGTCGGGAGCTTGTCAGTGCCCACCACTTCTTTGATCTCCTGGTACAGTTTCTCCTGGATGTCCGGGAAGTTTATCATGTACAGGACTCCGAACAACAGCGTCGTGCTGGATGTTCCAGTCCCGGCGTTAAACAGATCCCATGCTGAGTACAACATGTTCTGTTCGTTTATGGATGTTCCAATATCACCGGATGACTTTTTCTTCCGCATCTCCGCCAGGTAAGCCCCGATCACCGTCCCGGCCGTTTCGTCGTGCCCCAAGTCCTGCGTCTCACATTCGTGTATGAACTTGACGAAATAGGCTTTCATCGCCGAGATGTAGTCCTGGAGCTCCCAGTAATGAAACACGTCCCCGGGGACGTACCTGATCAGCCTGTAGAAGAAATGGATGGGCGAGGAAGGGGAGGCTAGCTCGAATGCCCTTGCCGTGTGGGCCTGCATCGAAACGAAATGGGGATCATGGTAGTCGAACCTTCTTCCGAACGTGACGCAAGAAATTATGTTACTAAGGCTGGCTGACAAAAGGTAACGCAAACTAATGGGCTGCCCCTTGGCGCCTGCCATCTCTTCCAACAGGAACCCCATTTCCGTGTTGATTCCTTCGGCCATGACATTTCTCCCCATGCCCAGCGATCGTAGAGTAGACTGGAGGAAGCTCCTCTGCTCTTTCCACTCTTCACCCGCCGTGGAGATGACGCCAGCGTTGTTGAACAGCACGCAGTGGAGGAAGCTGTCTGATCGGTTCATGAAGACCGTGTGCTGTTTCACCAGGGCTTCGTAGATAGTGTCGTAGCCGTTTATGAACACAACTTTTCTTGTGCCATATAAAACACTGAAAACGTCTCCGAACCTACAGACGGAAATAAAGGACGGTCAGGATTTAGTTATTTTATGTGCCATGAAGAACTCTGACTTAATTTAAATTCTGTTGTGTTATTTTCTCAAAAGGCTTCAAATTTTCAAACTGTTTAGATAATTATATTTTTATATACTTAAACTAAACGGCTCCAAGCTCTGATAACTTGGAGGTTTTCGAAATTAAATACCAGAGAACTAACTATAATTTTTGTGTTTGTGATGCTAGTAATGTATTTATTTTAATTTTAAAAAAAATTATACTACTCCTTACAATAAGTAAGTTGAAATAGAATAAAAAATGTGTGATCTGCTGTGCCATCTAAATGACAAGTAGTATTCAATTCTAAAAATAAAATGCACCTTCACACACTCCAGCTCTAAGGCTCAGTTTACATGATTAAATTTGCGTCCAACTTTCGTCACACTTATTTTGGAACGCACTATTTTATTTTTACTAAAGAGTGTGTTCAAAATGAAATTTGCGTAATACTGGACGCACGTGTGACAACAAATTGAGTTACTGAGAATTACGGTGCAAAAAAATAAATCTTTATAAAAATAAAATGCTTCTAAAGCTAGTATATGTTATATAGATTGATTCAATACAAGAGATTTAGACATACACTTTGAAGCAAATGAAATATTCCATGCCATGCTATCACACATGTCTACCTCGTTGTTTCGATTGATATGAACAAATTGAATCAACTATGATGACCAATCAGAGGTAAGGCGAGTCCTACCCCGGGCGGCTGTCCCTTCTGACGCTGTTCGGACATCCACCACCAGGCCAACAACAGGAACGTCACAAATATCAAGGCCACGTCCAGCATTTTCTTTGGACAGATGAAAGGACATAAAGTTAAAATAGTCTTTCTTTTCAAATTATCAGATCCCGACTTGTTAGGCCTTACAAAAGATAGCCTGTGATTCGTTTTAAAATGTTCTTTGTCTAGTGTTAAATGTGCACATGTGTATGTATCAGATGCTATTTTGGGACACCGACTCTTGGGACACGCATCATGGGAACCACTGTCTCACAAAAGTTCCTTAGAACAACCTACACTGATCGTTGTATTTACCTTTTTTTAAAAATTGTATATTAATGTATAGCAGTGTCATGCACCGTTTATTTAAAACTTCACAATAATATTAGCCACTTGTAGCCACCCCCCTCCCCACAAAAAAAAAAAAAAAAAAAAAAAAACAACAACAAACTAAATAAAAGTAAATTAATTTAAGTTTAGGAAATCGTTTCAGCAAAACTGTTAATAAATTATTAGTTTGTGGAGTAATACCCCCCCCCCACCCAAAAAAAAAACAAAGAACAAAAAACAACACCATTTTTGTGTTGTTGGTTTAACAGGATTCCAAATTACTTCTTATTGATTCCTGATTTTTGAACAAACTTTATTGATCCATTCTCTAGACCACAGCAAACTAGAGAAACTTAAGTTGTTTTAGGCATTTCCTCTTGTGTTTTGTCTTCAGAAGAAGGCTTTCAGTTTCAGGCCAATTGTTCTATTTTTTATTGTCATGTTCATTCACTTCAAGCTCAATTAAAAAAACAAAAACTTGTAAACGATTTCTTTTATTTTTCAAAAGTTATTGATCTGCAGCTATTTATGCTCAACATACTGAAATGGCAATCTCGGCTGAATTTCTTGCAGGAGAACCTTGACTTCTGGTTAAATTGGGCATATTGTAACGTCTTTTTTTTTTACAATGGCTTCGTTTCGCGTATCCTCTTTCTGTTTGACTTCTTCATGCTCTGCTGTTCGCCAGCTGGAAAGGTGCTCAGCGATGATCTCCCATTCACTTATTTATATGTTGGCTTCATGGGCGCCCCCAGAAAACTTTCTAGGGGAGGGGGTGCAAAAAAATCGATTAACTTTCCAGGAGGGGGGGGGCAAACATTTTTAGTAATGTTTTAATGTAGTTTTAATTTAGTTTAAATCAATATAGGGGGGGGGGCGCTTGCCCCCCCTTGCCCCCCCCCCGGCCGGGGCCCCATGGTTGGCTTCCCTCATACTCCTTTTCGACCTTCCTCCATTCTCCTTACACGACCTAACCAGCGAATGCTAAGCTTGCTAGGAGCGGAGAATATGCTAAACATTTTTGAACGTTCCAAGACCTCTGTGTTAGGCACCTTGTCCTTCCATCGAATACTCAAAAATGCGACACAGAACACATCTTTGAATGAAGCTGTTGAGTTTCCGCTCATGAGTGGCATTTTTTGGTCCACACTTTACTGCCATATAGGAGGGTACTAAGCACAAATTCCGGACAGTCAATTAATTTTGTACTATTACTTAAATTAAGATTATTCCACGCCGGCTTATTCAATTTAGCTTTGCTGGCTGCATATGCATATTGATTTTACATATATATAGTTGCTGACTTTATTTGCTAAATATTCACACTCTTTCATTACTCATGCTAATCCTTTCTGTAATGCTAATTATGCTTTTGAAATGTCTTTGATTTTAAACAATTTATGTTACAACGTATAGTGAGCTAGTTGTATCGAGCCATGTCACGAGTAGGCCTTGAGCCATGGTGGACAAATTGAAAATTTAGTCACTATACAATCTTATATCACTAACAATTAGAAACTTTTCCGAAATGAGCCGAGTCTGCAAAGCTTTCTGCCTCGCACAAACACAAATTTGTCTTCTATTATTCCATTTTAGAGAGAACGATATCAGCCATTCTAAATTAAATTGTGTAAAATTTCATGGATAAACAACCCCAACCAAAAGACAATAAAATATATGCTGTTAAGTTCAAAGTGCAATCAAAACTTACTGACTTCTTGTAGAGTAAAGTTATAAAAAAAAAAAAAAATCCCTTCACGTTTGAAAGATTTTGGCCGCAACTGAGCTGTGCAGAGAGCTGCACAATCATGCAGTGAATGCCGTCTGAATGTTTCACATGCGTTACATTTAGACGAACGAAAATTTTGTCAAGCGAAGCCGAGTCCATGAACCCTGCTTTACATTCCATGCAGCGGTACCACAATTGTTGGGCTACTATGGGCCTGACTTGTTCTACAACGTCGATAGCAGGTTTAAGGGGTTTTGCAACTAATGTACTCTAAGAAGTCGAGGTCAGTGTCCAGCCTCGCGTCTCACCATTGTTGATTTATCAAAATATTTATGTCGTTTAAACTTTTAAGTTATATTTTTCCACATTGACCAGATTTACCACATTGACCACATTGACCATTTGACGACATTGACCACATCAGCCACATTGGCCAAATTGGCCACATTGACCACATTGACCACGTTGGTCACATTGACCACATTGGCCACATTGACCACATTGACCACATTGACCACATTGACCACATTGACCACATTGACCACATTGACCACATCGGCCACATTGGCCACATTGACCACATTGACCACAATGACCACATTGACCACATTATGCACGTTTTAAACAACATTGTGTAAATGAGTTTATTTAAAAGAAAAAAGTATAAGTCACTTATGAAGAGGAACAAAACACAATATCAGATAATTTATTTTGTTGCTGTTATTCTTAGAATCAAAACCATTACATCGTCGGTAATCATTCCTTAAAACAGTCATAATAATCCAAATTGTCCACACTCATCATGTTGATTTAATGTCATAAAAATTCATTGACATATTTATGGAAATTTGGTGATTCAAAGCCATGTTTACTTTTAATTAATGTTAAAAGTTTTTTTGTTTTTTTAAAGTTTTTTTTAAAATATCGACTTCATTAAAATGAAATAAGAAAAAATGTGATCGCCCCTCTGTTGCTCTTATTTCTTTATGAACGAACGTTTCAAATTTGAAAACAACTTCGTATCTACGCCTCTGGTCAGAATACACATATTTTATTTTTAGGGTTCGCAGTGACGGACGCATTCAAGCGTAAACGGTACGCAGGGCGGTCAGGCCGGTCCTGGATTTGTATTAAAAGTGCAGCGAGTCATAATGCACTGATGTCCCGCACGGCGTGGGCTCCCCGTTGATTTCGTGGCGGTGCTTCTTTGAGGGTCCGCCTAGTTATGTCCGTTAGGAGTGCATTGAGTTTACAGACTCCGGTTGGGTTTATTTCTTTTAAAAAATAGTCTGTAGTACACGCCACAGTAGAGCCTATTTGTGTTCCTTCTAGTGACGTCATGCTGACGGCACGACGCCACGTAGAAAATACGTGTACTTGTAGGTCTCACTATCACCAACTGCTGTGCCTACTCGTAATAACAAACGTGTGTTGTCTCAAGGAAGCAGGCTCAGACGACTGATTGCGATGCACAACTTGCGAACTTTATATAGAGCCGTGCCTTAAAACTGTCACCTTTTAAACTTGCCCTACTTTTAAAAAATGTGTTTTAAAAAAAATAAATAAAAATAATAGAAGAAATTATTGGTAGTTATAAAGTGTTTGTTCTTGTGATTTATCAAAAACTTAAAAAAAATATAAACGTCTGTATTACTTACTATTAAAAAATAGAGAAAAATTAAAGCTGCTTAAAAAGCAGTGTTAGCCCATACGCCAGCTCGATGAGAAAAACAAAGTGGGAGGGGGGGGGGAGTAGACTGTCATTAATTGACTTGAAAATAATAAATTAAAGTACACACCCCGTATACAAAAATCAAGACATGTACACAACCACGAGCAAAGATAAATGTACGCTTATTGAGAACCAAGTACACATGGAATAATATGTGCGTCTTTAGAAGGAGTGTTTCTTGCAGGCATATCTCCGGCACCATCATGCCTAATTTTGTAGCTTTGTGTGCATTTAATACTATTATTAATAATATTATCATTTTTGTTTTTAAACAACTTCACACTTTCGACAGCTCCGTTGCTCGGCAGAAACACGTATTCCGTCCATTCCAAAGACACACACTAAAACATACGGTGAACGATCTTGCTCTTTCTGCGCCCCAAAACAATGTAATTCTCTCCCACTATGCATCAGGACTATACCGACCTGTACATTTCAAAACTGCACTCAAAACAAATCTCTTTAAACGCTACAATCCTGACTGATTCTCCCCCCCCCCACCCAAAAAAAATAAATATTGTCGATAAATGATGCTTGATGGGTGCCGTCCTTGGCTTTACATGTAAATATTTCTGGGGTGGACACAAAAACCTACGGTGAAAGACCTTGCTCTTTCTGCGCCCCAAAACAATGTAATTCTCTCCCACAATGCAACAGGACTATACCGACCTGTACATTTCAAAACTGCACTCAAAACAAATCTCTTTAAACGCTACAATCCTGACTGATTCTCCCCCCCCCCCACCCAAAAAAAATAAATATTGTCGATAAATGATGCTTGATGGGTGCCGTCCTTGGCTTTACATGTAAATATTTCTGGGGTGGGTGGTGTGAACATACATTGCTTTTGCATTTTTTTTATACAGCTGTTTTTTAATTAAATTAATCTAATTTTTTTAATGTCATGGTTATGGTTGCTAATTTTTGTATGTGCAGCGTGGTGAGCCTAGCCCTAGGCTGGGGTTACCCGCTATATAACCACTAATAATAAGAGTAAAGATGTGCATAATAAACTGTCGTTCTAAAGTGACCGTTAGTTACGTGTGTCTGTGTGAGAGACATAGAGATAGATAGAAAGATAGATAGATATATAGAGAGAGAGATAGAGAGAGAGATAGAGAGATAGACAGACAGAGACAGAGAGAAAGAGAGAGAGAGATAGATAGATAGATAGATAGATGATAGATAGATAGATAGATAGATATATAGATAGATAGATAGATAGATAGATAGATATATATATATAGATAGATAGATAGATAGATAGATAGATAGATAGATAGATAGATAGATAGATAGATAGATAGATAGATAGATAGATAGATAGATAGATAGATAGATAGATAGATAGATAGATAGATAGATAGATAGATAGATAGATAGATAGATAGATAGATAGATAGATAGATAGATAGATAATAGAAAAAGGGTGAGATAGAGAGAGAGAGAGAGAGAGGAGAGAGAGAGATGAAGGATCATGAATTCCAAGAAATACTATAAAATTTAAAAACACATATTTTAAACCTCCACAATTTTTAAGGACACACAATTGGGACGAACACAATTTAAATATAATATTTTGTTGACAATAGGTTTTTAAACATATTCCAATTCCGTTATAAGACTATGTTGTGTCTTAATGAGTCTATGACCCTTGACCGGGAGCAATGGCTTGGGTTTTGGTGTTCGTTTCTTATAGGGTGGTGTCATTAGTGTTAAATGTCTTTAGTTTATCATCTTTACGAGTGTAAAGCAAACCAAAAACGAAATCATAAGAGCTAAGATTTCCCGTAAAAGTAAATACGTGAAAAAAATATACTTCCCTGAGGCGTTACATTATCGTCTCTATTTCGTGTAACTTCTGGAGGGTTCATCTGGATTTTAATATAATTTCATTTTTTTTTAAATTTCAGAATGTTACCGTAACATGTGCAACGGGGAAGTATCCACCAGATCCAAAGTAAGAGATCTAGATATGCTTGAAGAGTTTCAAATGTAAATGTTTTCTTAGATACTTTACTTACAATAGTCTATTGTGTTGAAATACAAGTGGGGAGGTGGAGAACCAAAAATAAGAGGAAGAGAGAAACAAGAGAGAAACAAGAGAGAAACAAGAGAGAAACAAGAGAGAAACAAGAGAGAAACAAGAGAGAAACAAGAGAGAAACAAGGGAGAAACAAGGGAGAAACAAGAGAGAAACAAGAGAGAAACAAGAGAGAAACAAGAGAGAAAAAGAGAGAAACAAGGAGAAACATGAGGGAAACAAGAGAGAAACAAGAGAGAAACAAGAGAGAAACAAGAGAGAAACAAGAGAGAAACAAGAGAGAAACAAGACAGAAACAAGAGAGAAACAAGAGAGAAACAAGAGAGAAACAAGAGAGAAACAAGACAGAAACAAGAGAGAAACAAGAGAGAAACAAGAGAGAAACAAGAGAGAAACAAGAGAGAAACAAGAGAGAGAATGGTTGTGAAAAAAAAAAGTGTCAGATTTCCCCAGGGATTGGTGAAAGTGACTGGGGAAAATAGTCTGAGATAGAGAAATGAGTCAGAGGCGGCTGAGACTGACAGAGATAGATGGAATTATATATAGTTATATAATAAATATGGCATTCTTCGGTATACGCGAGACAATGGGGTGGCAATGGACACCTCATCAAATGGCTCATGAGGCGGATCCTGAAAGGATAGGCTCGACTGCACTTCTCGCAGGAGCAGCTTGACTCCTGGTTAAATTTCGCCTTCCGCAGTTCTCTTTGTGTTGCAAAGGCTTCGTGTCGCGCATGCGTTCCTTGCGTTATAAATGAACTCTGCTCCTCATGAAGTGTCGTGCCCAGTGCAGCTGCATAGCCTGGGCGCTGTTTCATGGAGACAAGCTGTTGCCCGATGCAGCAGATCCCCACTCTCCACGCAGCCAGTGGATCCAAGAGAATGTCAAATTGTCAATACAGTTTGCCACTGAATGCATTGCAGGAGTTGCGGAGATGACATTGGTACCATCGTCAGATCGCTTTCGGGACTCCATATCCGTATTTGACGTTTGGGTTTCCATCCAGAATTCTTACCCTAGCTTCCAGCATTGATTTTACATATTTATACTGCTACTGATTCAACACTTCCCATTTTTCATCAATATATTTTTGATTGGGATTACTTATCTCTTAAATGCTTGATTGGTTTTAGATAATGATATTTCTTTCCCCGGTTTTTTGCATTTTGCATTATATGTGTTTTCTAGTTTCCCAAAAAACCAAAACTCTCCATCTTAGTTTATAATAATAATTATCAGGTTTATCGTTATGATGTCATTTTGACAACGATATTCAGATAACAAGATAAACAGAGGTGTTGCGCCAGATGTTGATACCTCTGACCTTATCTTAATTTTCGATAACCTGTATTGAATGTTTGAATGTATTTATGGTTAAGTGACCAGTGCACTGGCTTCAAAACACAACGACAACAGGTTTTGTACATTCTGCCACATTTCGAATTGTTCGACTTCGCCTTGAGCTCTTTTTAAGAGTGAAAATGCAATGTAAAATTAAGAGCTTCAGAATTTTATTAACGTGTGACTTACAACATAAATTAAAATCTAAATACATAATTAGTATTAAAATGTGAAAATTTATATCATACATTTAAAAGGAAATGGCTCTTCTGTTCTTACCATCAATTCCTTGACGTATTCTCCAAAATTCCACCTGGCATCCCCAGCGGTGCGAGCACCCCAGGCAGGGCAAAAGCAGACGAAAACGAAAAAACTAGCCTCAAAACATGTCGCTCACGTCTAAACTCATTCTTCTAAAATCCTAAGATAGGTTTGTACAAAATAAAATTATGATTTTATACTGGAAAGACATAATCAGTGCTAGCACTGCACCCCACCAGAAGCATACTACACCTCCCCAAGGCATAACACACCTCGAGCAAACCCCACACTCAGGCACACACTGTACCCAAAGCGCACCTCCTCAGCCTCGGGCACACTACTCCCCGAGCACACTACTCCCCGGGCACACTCCCCCACGCCTCAGACATACCACCCTGCCTCCAGTTATACTCACTTCCATAAAAGTATTCACAACTACATCACGTGATGTGTATATTGATAGCTGAACGAAAAGGTCCTGAACTACTTCTACTCACGTGACGAAAATCTGCACACTTAGGCAGAAAGCAGAAAGCACACGTTGACACGACACACGCGGTAACATAATATCTTGTTCTCTGGTAACATGTAAATTACTCATTCACACACTGTGCATGGACGTTTTTTATTCGAATTGGGGTTTAAACAGTGTAAACAGGATGTAAGACCGCGCAAGGCTGTGGCTGTTGCATGTTTATAAATAGAACAAGTGAAGCAATTAAGAAAAAGAAACAGGAACAAAAACCAGTTTGAAATAGTTGTGAATATAAACAAACGTATACATCTGCTGTACACAGTCGTGAAAATAGAATATTCTTGTGAGTTAGATATGCGCGAGGACGTTGGGGTTTTGTAGTAACTAAAATGAAAGTTTAGACAGCATAAATTTCAGAAGATACACGGTCAAGTGTAGTAAAATCACTAAAATGAACACATGGAGACTAGTTGAATATAGATAAACATACAGTGATTTTGTTTCATGTTTCGGATAACTAGTTTGCTGATACGAAAAAAAAAAGGAAATTAAAGGAAATAAAATTACATTTATTTATTTATTTATTTAGGCATTTTTATATAGCGCTTATCATAAAGCTCTAAGCGCTTTACAATTATTAAAACATGTAAACTAAGTAAATACAAATGAGACACTAGGATAGTAACTACTATTCTATAGAAACAATGAAAATGGCTATAAAAAGAGGACACTTTGACACTTCAGGATTAAACCGAAACAGAAAATTAGGTAGGGCAAGGAGGGTGCATCACAGGTCATAGGCGGACCTAAACAGATGAGTTTTAAGGGACTTTTTGAAAATGGACGAGGTTTCACTATGACGTATATGGAAGGGGAGCTGGTTCCAGAACGTGGGCCCATGGAAGCAGAAGGAGCGTTCACCGATGGTCTTAGTTTTAGTTCTTGGGATTGAGAGGGTTCTACTGTCAATGGAAGAACGTAGAACATTTAGGCTTGAAATATTTTTTCTTAGCAATACATTTTCTTCGGTCACATTTTGTATGTATGCAATTCAATGTTTTTATTTTTTTTTAATAGAACAAAGGTGGACACATATGTGGTCAATCTTGACCTTTTGCCTAGTCAAAGATGGGCGGAGCTAGCGAAGGCCAAAGGACCCCAGGTTAATTCTTTTTTTTCGAAACCATTCCTGAACGTTTTCTTGAGCCATATTCTCACCCATCTCCCCAAGGGGAAACAAAAACATATGACATTTATTTTGTTTTTTATTCTGAATTGTTATTTCTAAGTTGTAATCTCGGCAAAAAATATTCTAACTTAACAACTTAAAAAAAGATTTGGTCATGCTTCTATGCTATACCAGCAGTACATTTGAGAAATTCCTGGTCACCGAATTGTGTCAAACTTGTTATCTCAGATCAAATATCTTGTGGACGGCTTCAAAGAATTTTTGGAAGACTTCGGACAAGCGGGAAAGGACATCGTTGAATTTCTGGACAATAGGGGCGTAAGTTTAGAAGAGTTTTATTGTGCTGACCTGTAGCGTACTATATGGAGCCAGTATGTATGTCGATGTATTATACTAATGGGTGATTCCCAGGCAAATGTTGACCATCGACCATTGATTAGTAGAAATGAGTGATATTTAACTACCAAAGTTTTGAAACCACGAATTGGGGAAAAATAATAAAGATATTCCACAGGAGCTCAGAGATGACACGTGAGAGGGGAAGGGCGCCAGGGAGATGACGTGTTAGAGAGTGGTTGAGTATCATAGATTGAGTTAGTAGGCGTGTCATAGAAATGGAGCCTCATAGAAATGGTGTGTCTTAGTTAGTGCGTCCGAATGTGAGCGTGTCAGGGAGTAAGCGTGTCGGAGCCACGTTGGGGTGTTGCTATACTGCATGCCAGAGAGTTGGCGAATCAGAGAACATTGCGTATGAAAGAGTAGGCGGACCGGAGAGACAGCGAGTCCAAGACGAAGTAAGTTGGCGTGTCAGAGAAGGGGCGTGTCAGAGTGAGGCGTGTCAGTGAGTAGGCGTGATAGAATATGGGCGTGTCAGGTATTTGACGTGTCAGAGAGATAGTGTTTCATAGACGGAGTTAGTTGGTGTGTCACAGAAAGAGCGTTTCTGCGAGACAGCGTGTCAGAACAGGGGTTTGCCAGAGCAGGGGCGTTTCAGAGAAAGGGCGTGTCAGAGAGATGGCGCGTCAGAGAATGGGAGTATCAGAGATGGCGTGTAGAATGTATGCATTAACATTTATTGACAGTACTTTGATATCTTTTTTTTTCCACTGGCAATTACTCTACTGCATTTTATGCATGGAACATTCTTTTTTTACTAGGGAGACTTGGTTGTTACGCTGCCACCACCATTTGATCAAGAAATTAGAGGCATCGCACTGGCGGCTAATATGAATTTAGGTGTGCCTAAAATACACATGAATTATAAATGTATTGGCGCTGAAGTACGACATGATTATCACACGTTTATTATTTAAGAATTAATTCGTTAATTGTTTTAAATATTAAAGCTAATTCCATATTGTTTTATCCACAAAAAAAAAATTTTTTGGTTTTATTTATTAGGAGAAGTAATTCTGTACAACCTTTTCTACGAGTTCTCTACCTTGTGCACATCGATAGTGACGGAAGATGCTGATGGTAAGGCCCCTACCAAATACATAGTTTGAGTTTAAACACGTATCTTGAATAGAAAACTTAGCCCGGTTATGTGGTCCACAATAACTCAGCTTTGTTTACTCTTAAGGAAATTTGTTTCATGCAAGAAATTTGGACTTTGGACTTTTGTTCGGGTATGTATACATCATTATGCAAGTCAACATATTAAAAATGTAATTACAATTATAAAAAAAAACCCACCAAAAAAACCCACTTTATGCTCTGAAGAAAGGTGTTTGTATTTATTGATATAACACCAATGGTAAGCTGTTACCAGAATATGACATTATCTAACTACCGTATAATTCATGACAAGCGTACTCAGGCTTGTGCTGTCGTGGCCTCCTCAGCTGGGACGTTAGCAACAAGACCTGGACAGTCACGGAGAGACTGAGACCTCTGATTGTCAACCTGGACTGGCAGAGAGGAGGCGAGACCGTGTTTAAGTCAGTCAACTATGCCGGCTACACGGGGATCCTAACGGGGGTCAAACCTGTGAGTACGAGGGCGTGCAGCCGTGCGTGGTGATGCGGGGAGGAGGAGGGGAGGAAGATCAATGGGAGCAAAGTTATTCGTACCTCAAACACTGTGATTCCGAATCCTGTCACATTTAAGCCCCTATTTGGCAACCAACGGATTAATTCCGCACTTTTCAACGTGTGCGATCTGACATTGATATTTACGCACACATATGCATTCTCCTGATGATCCAATGAGCGTTGGGTAGAAGGCAGACAAATATTCAATTTACACATAAAAATAATGGCTAATAAATTCAAAGTGATAAAAAATTTTTTTTTTTAAATTCAAAGGCTTTGTGATATAGTTTATTACCAACGCAAGTAACGCTATAAGAGTTGTGAAATGTACTGAAAGAAGAATTATGATTTTTCCAATACACAATAAAACATAGAAGAGAAACATAAGGTTTCCCATCAGTGGCGCAGCTAGGGGCACTACAGCCAGTAGGGGAGCAGATATGTTTGTCATCACCTGAAAAAAAAAAAAGCAACTCTTCATAATTTTTACTCCTCTATTAATAATTGATATAAAGCAAAAAAAGTGCCCCCCCCCTCCCCCCAGGACGGACCGCCCCCCCCCCCACATCCAAGTCCGACGCCACTGGTTTCCATAGACATAAAGTAAAATAATTTGATTCTTGCCCTCCTAAAAAAAACAACAAAAAACTATATCAATAAAATATTAATAACAAAACGAACTAAAACAGAAAACAATAACAACAACAAAACAAACAAACAAACAAACAAACACACAAAAAGCAAAACAAAGGGTAAAGTTATGGGGAGAAAAACGAAAGAATTTATAAGTCTATGTTATTCTGAAAATCGCCAAGCCTTATATACCAATACTGCATTTAATAAGGATTGCTATTTTAAACGAACTTACATTTTGAACATGCCAAGATTGCAGACATAACTCGAAAGTCGTCTAACCAAAGAAAGTGCGTGCATGACCTAAGGGAGTATATTTATTCAAGTGCTGAGGTAAGAGTGCACATTTCAACGGAGATGATCTCAACCCCTTAATCATTGGGCTCCGGCCATGACATTTTTTTGTTTTACATAGTTTCAAAGGGATCAAATGTTCTGTAAACCCCAAACTTCAGAACCCGATTAAAGCGTTTGAGTCGTCAGTCTCGTCTACATAATTTGCTTCTGGTTCGTCATGCTTCCTTGCACCGGAACCCCACTTCACATGTTTTATATTAATTGTACTGAGCGAAAAGAAAAGCTGTCACGCAGCAAGCTTTCATGCGTGACCTCTGAAATACTAGAATTGTATTAGTCCACAAAGAGCTGCGGGTATGGTTCAGGGCTCCCTGTAGGACTGTTTGTAGACTTTCTGGAGAACATTCCGTAGGCCTATTTCATAAAGGCCCACACGTGGAGTGAGGACTGCCTGTAGGCCTATGTGTCTATAGCAGGCCTGCACAACTGCGAAATGTAAGGCGGGCCGTAATACATTATAAAGAAACTTGCGCAGGCCGACAGGAAATAGAAGAATGTGGTGGTGATTGGGGGGGGGGGGGGGGGGTGGGGGCTATTAAGAAAATAATAATAAAAAAGAATAGTTCGTTAGTTTGCGGGCCGCAAATTGGTTGCTGGCGGGCTGTATGCTGTGAAGGCCTGGTCTAAAGGTCAGCACATATCATAGAAAATGCGATGTTAACTCTTTTGTTTTAACACTTGAATCCAACAGATATTTTCTTAATGTACCTGTACCCGATGTTTTAACAAAATGCACCCGGTTAAGCCCTAGTATAAAATAAATTAACTGTTTCATATATTGTGTCTCTTGGAGTTCCTCGATGCAGGATTTGGATTCCACTTTATAACAAATACTAATTGAAAAATAAATTCCGTTTAATGAGCCGATGATGAATTATTTGACTAAGACCCCACGCCTTTAGCCAGCAACAGCCAGGGAAGCCTTACTAATAAAGATCAATACTCGGAGGTCGAGATTCTATCTCTTAGGACCTCGGCCATGAAACATGGCCAAGTAGTCCCTGGGGACTCCGGCCATGCAACACGGCCTTGAGTAACGGGGTTTTGGACAGGTTGCTTCCACTCATTAGGGGACAGTTTTGCGTCACAGCCCCCCTTGCCCATTGAGTCTTACGGTCGGGACGTTGGGTGGAACGGCTTTACTTCCTCTCCGGAGATGACGTTACGTTGCCACCCCGAACCGCCCAGGGAGCCGTGCGTTCCTTGGTTCCTTGCGCACGGCTTTGCCTCCACTCCGGGAGTAGTCACAAGCTTGACTTTCTCCCAACGTTCCTGGGAGTTGTGTGGACATGGGTCAAAACGGCTTTAATTCCTCTCCGGGGGAGGCGTTTACCTCAACCCACCGTTCGGGGAGTGGTTCGGTCTGGACTGTGTCGGGACGAAACGGTCGCCTAGGAGCGGCTTTCTCAAGGCCGCATGTTTGTAATCCTCGGCAAGGGTTTTTAAAGAAAACCCAAGCCTCATAACCATTATTTGCGACACGTAATCATGTTAGCGCGCAACTTCCGTTGCGTAGGAAGTCATGCGTTTTGACTGGGTTTTTTTTAGCTTCAGAAGGAAAATTCCCCCCCTACTAGTCTGTCACGCCACGAAGAGGCAAATCCCTTGTAACACCACTCGAGCAAGTGGTGCTGAGCAGGAACCTCACAGAGCTCAGCCCCTGCCCGACCGGGAAGGCATTACTAGATATACGAACCAACGGTACGCCATATAGAGATGGGGGGCCAAGTTCCTACTTCATAAATTCAAGTTCTTAATATCCAAAAAAGGCTTAATTACCAACGTTATCTTACACTCATTATTTAAATGCGGTAAGCTGAAGGGGCGTAAATAATTTTGAATGCGCTTAAATGACAAGGGAGGAGCAGGGACAATAAATGAGGGAAGAACAAGAGGAGTAAATCACAGTGAAAGAGCAGGGGCTGTAAAAGAAGAGGGAATATCAGGTGTCAGTAAATCACAAGGTATGAAAAGGGGCAATAAATTAGAAGAAATGAACAAGGAAGAGGTAACTTGCAATGGCAGTAAGTCTCAAGTCAAAGATATGAGCATTAAATGAAGAGGGGAAAAAAGGGGCATCAATTTTATTGAAAAAAGCTTGAAAAGGAGCAGTTAATCAAAAGACACGAACAGGGGCAGTAAATAACAAGGCATGAACAGGGGTAGTAAATGGAAGAACAGTTGAGAATGAGTAACGATGACAGGATACATTAAGCATCAAGTGAACCTAGTAAATTGCCACGCCAACATCACGAAAGCCGGCTTCATTCAAACCCATGATCTATTTTCTCTCCCCGTAGAAGCTGTTCACCTTGTCAATGAATGCCAGAGACGACGCCTCCGGTGGTGGAATAGTTGGTGAGCTACGCTAATCAGGTTGAAATAACATTCTTTAAAACATAAACGCAGTTATAACGCAGCGTGAAGAGTTACAATTAAACATAGTTAATTTCGATGGTAAGTTTGAGTGGAGCGAAGTCATGGCCTGTAGAGTTGGACAAGCCAGGTGAAAATATAAAGTTCTTTGTACGATACCTTAGTCCAAATTATCATTAAATAATATCCTATATTACATTATTTGTAATTTTGTAATTATTTTTCCTTGCATTCTCCCCCCAGGCATTCTAAAGTGGTTGCTAGGGAACCGGAACGAATCCTGGATAGGATTCCTCACCAGAAATGTTATGGAGACGGCGACGAGTTTCAGCCAGGCCAGGGCCATGTTGGAAAATACGGTGGTCGTGGCACCGGCCTACTTTATTGTGGGAGGGAATAAGTCTGGTGAGGTAAGTGGGAATACGTCAGACAACAGTTGTGTTGGGGGGGGGGATGATTTTTGACGGTTAAAGGGACGTAAGTCTTTCTCTCACTCACACACTACGAAGACAATGAGTGACATGGACATCAGATGTAAGGAACATAATTTATGAACTCAGATTTTGGGGAATACATAGGTGTAAACCAAGCTCCCCCCAACCCCCAACTTTAAAAAAAAATTAGAAGGAAATAATTTGAGAGATTTGCTATTATTTTTTTTTTGGGGGGTGGGGGGGGGGGGGGGGGGTTGGTGGTTGGGATGTGCAAAGCCGGGTGTTAATTTATGCCTTATATTACTATTACATAACCCAAAAATATCGCCCAAATTTAATGTTAAGATCGAAAAAATGATCTAACGGGTGTTATTGGGCACGCATTCGGAGAAAGTGAAGCTGGTATAATAAAAAAAAAAGCTTTATCTGACTGCTTCATCGGGTTTTCTTCTCCATCGGCGCAATCATGGACTGATATAAATGATGTTTCTTTTCTAAAATAAGATTTTATTGTTTGTATAACGGAGTTGTTCATTCCGTGAACGGAATAATGCAATTTATAATAACTTCATAATCTCAATTTCGTTTCAAGTTGTATGTAAATATAAATAGTTGATAAGTTTTAAGTGATTGCATAACAGTTTCTCGACAGGCATCTCATCGAAAAATACACTTCAACGACAGTACCAGTTGATGAACTGTCTCTCGGTGAAGGGTTCATATCGGCGTTTCTTTTCATAGAGGAAATGCAAGTCGGAGACATTTATTTGCCGATGAAGACCGTCGCTAATTTGACTGCCAAAGAAATGTCTGTCAATGAAATGGCTGTCAATAATATGGCAGTCAATGAATTGGCTGTCAATGAAACGGCCGTCGATGTTATGACTATCAGAGATATAGCTGCCAATGAAAGGGCTGTTATTGAAATGATGTGCAGTAAAATGGCCGACAATAAAATGGCTGTCAATAAATTACTGTGAAATGGGGTGTCAATGAGTTTACGTCAACGAAGTGACCTGCGACCCTTCAATGCATTTTAAAGATGCTTTATTTTTAAATGGAAATATATTGCTTGTTTAGTTTAAGGCTGTGCGAGAAGAGAGAGACTTTGTTGAAAGTTCCAGGGCAATGGCTCTCAACATTTTTGCAGTGCGCACCCGGCTTGATTTCAAAACATATTTCCCGCAACCCCTAAAGGTCCCATAAACTCATGATTAGTCCTTGAAACGAAGAAGGTCATAGAAGCTAGAAACTCCCAATAAACATTTTAAGTTAATGCACTGGTTTGGGAAATCACACTGGCTCATCCTCCTTCTGTCAAACCCTACATAAATAAATAACCAAAGTTAATCAGCCGGTTAAGTCCAGAATGTTTAAAACGAAATTAAGAAACGCCCCCCCCCCCCAACCCAACCCACCCATACAAACCCGCACGCAAACCGTGGTATTCTAGTGAACGTCCATAAGATACAGAAGCATATTGTGCCTTGTTGTTTGGTGCATACATGGCCGTCTCGTTAACGTGTGTACGTAGGCGTAGCCAGGGTTAGTATATTCATGTGAGGGCAAAGCTTTTTGCTGGCCCCTTCCTCGACAAAAAATACTCCGCAGGTCACCAAAAGTGCCCCACCCCCATTCACCCCTGCGTGTCTTTATTTTAATGCGCTTTATATTAATGTGTTTTATGAAATAAATGAAAATACATTATTTTCACGTTTGTATTGATCCCAATTAACAAATTGTAATATAGCCAGGGTTGTTAACAATACTAAAAAAAATTATTGGCAATACCAATACCAATACTGCCTGTAAAATCTATTGGCAATACCAATACCAATACAATTTTAAAACCAGTATTGCAATACCAATACCAATATTTATTTATTATTGCCTTACCAATACCAATATTTGGGTCATTCGACGAATAAAACGCAAATACGTAATTCATCGCTCTATATCACTTACATCGATAAACGATAACAACATTTTTGGCTAATTTAGACAATGTATTTTTAACCAAATTTTGTTCAATAGTTAACACTTGCTTCATCAGTTTTCCTCAAAGCATTCAAAAGTCTTTGACAACATATTAAATAAGTCGGCATACCTTAACGTCCTTAAGCAACAAGATTTTTAATATGCATACTGTACACATATTGTGAATGAATGAATGGATGGATGGATGAATGAATGGATGAATGAAGCAAATGACTGTCATTTTTGTTTGTAGGCCCTAGGCACGGTGCCTAAAGTGCCTAAGCCTTAATCGAGCCTTGGTAAGTCACTGGTCAATGCTCATTGCCAAAGATATCATATATGATTTGATTTCTATTATCCTTTATTTCATTGATCAGTCTCATTCACAAATTGTTTGGCAATGTCACTCGCAAGATGGCGACACCAAAGAAAAATTTATTATATTCAGCTTTATTCACAACCAATGTTGTAGATAATTTATTGAATATTGCTTTTAGTATTGGTTAAAAATCAATACCAATATCAAAAATAATTATTGGCAATACCAATACCAATATCAAATTTCAAGAAGTATTGCAATATCGTCCCAATACTTTAAAAAGTGTTGGCAATACTACCAATACCAATACAATATTGCAATATTAACAACCCTGAATATAGCTTATATTATAAGCTAATCAGATAATCAACCTATGTATGTGAAATATCCTAACAATCCTAAGATAAGGATGTTGAAATGTCCTAACAGCCATAAGATATGGAAATGTCCTAATGATTTTTCCAGGGCGTTGTTATAACAAGAGAGAGGAGCACCAACCTTGACACCTGGACGATGAGGAACGCCTCTGGCTGGTACATTCTGGAAACAAATTATGACCACTGGAAGTCGCCGCTGATTATCGATGACCGACGGAGCGCCGCCCACAAGTGTATGGACAAGATGAGTCAGAAGGTGGGCAAACAGTGTTTCGTGTGATACATATCCCCATGGAATATTTTGGTTAAAAACTGACTCTTAAAGGGCATGTCAAAATACACGATGAGATAATTAGGTACAGCGAATGAATAACTCTGAAAGGAAATCGTTAATCGTATGACAATAAAACGTAGTGACGTGTTGTGAGTGAAATGTGAGTGTTTGAATTGCCACTTCGAAAGTTGCGGTATAAAGTAGACGTTGAGGTTACAGCTTTGATGGCGTTGTCGGTTACAGTCAAAGTTAAACAACCCAAATTACAAAGTTTTTTTTCCGTATATTTCCTTTTAATGCATTTTAGTTTCGACTTAGCGATGGCTATAGTTCCTAAGAAATCATTGCATCAAATTTTTTTTTTTTTTTCCCTGACAATTCGATGGTCTCATATTCCAATATTTCACTATTCCAAAATTCATTTTTTTTTTTTTTTTTCTTGAAATTTAGTTGTTTTATATTTCAAAAATTTAAATTTTATAAAATTCCCCCCCCCCCCCCAAAAAAAAAATCCTGTTTAGCGTGAAGAAGAAGATAATTATTTTTTTTTTTAAAAGGATTAATTTTTGACGTGTATGCAAACGAGAAATAAATCTCTTTGTTAATAATTCGGATTAGCCGTGTTAAGATATTGGTCGGATATCAGTTGGTCGATGGAGATACCCAAGATAAGCGGTGTAAATGTAACGGTCAGATGTCTGTTGGTCAATGGAAATACTCAAGAAAAGAGCTGTAAATATAATGGACAGACATTTGTTGAGCAATGTAGATACTCCGGATTAGCTGCGTTTAATGTAATGGATATCTCTTGGTCGAAACTAAACAATGCTCTGGGTGTTTTGTTATGGCATCAAATTTTGCTTTCTTGGTATATGACTTATGATTCTTGGCGGCACTTTAAAAAGGTCAATTTCCTGTAAAATGTATTGCCCATCATATCATCTGCAACTGCAGTGTATCCAAGCACTAATGCAGACATTCTGTTGAATCCCATATCTTTTGAAGAATTCATTTATCATTCCAAAAACAAATATTAAAAAAATGTCAAACTCAGTATTCCGTTGTGGAAATTAATTGCAAAATAAAGTCCTTTGAAGGAGTCCTCATCAACTTCATATCCATTACATACTTCTGTAGTCACTTTATGCCTCATCCACATAACATTATTACATACTTCTGTAGAAACTTTATGCTTCATCCACATATTATCCATTACATACTTCTGTAGTCACTTTATGGCTCATCCACATAACATCCAAAACATAATTCTGTAGTCACTTTATGCCTCATCCACATAACATCCATTACATATTTCTGTAGTCACTTTATGCCTCATCCACATAACATCCATTACATACTTCTGTAGTCACTTTATGCCTCATCCACATAAAATACATTACCTGTTTCTGTATTCGCTTTATGCCTCGTCCGCATAAATTACATTACATACTAATGTAGTCACCTTATGCCTCATCCACATAACATCCATTACCTGTTTCTGTATTCACTTTATGCCTCATCCGCATAACATCCATTACATACTAATGTAGTCACCTTATGCCTCATCCGCATAAAATACATTACCTGTTTCTGTAGTCACTTTATGCCTCATCCACATAACATCCATTACCTGTCTCTGTAGTCACTTTATGCCCCATCCACATAACATCCATTATCTGTTTCTGTAGTCACTTTATGCCTCATCCACATTTTATCCATTAACTGTTTATACAGTCATTTAATCCATTTATTTATTTGAGGTGAAACGTATCTACTTCATTGACATTAAAACCCCAAAATTCAATCGAATAATTGTACTCAACATTGCGGTTGAATAAATGTATCACCATTAGTTTGTGCTATATTCTGTCGTTTAATTTGCAGCCTCGCATGCAGCTTTTGAGAAAGCGACAGCGATCACATACTCGCTGTAATTTACACTCATAAGATTTAAATTTACCATCAAATATTTTTGGCATTGTTAGCATTGTCGCTTTGATTTTAGAGGTTAACTTGGGACTATACAAGTGACCTTATCAGTTCACATGGAACTGGACAAATGACGAAATCAGTTTCCCTTGAGACTATAATACTGGTCATAATCGTCCCCTAAGGACTATACAAATGGCTAATAAGTTCACTAGGGACTATACCACTTGCTACATAAGTTCACAAAAGGACTATACCACTGGCTAATTTCACTAGAGACTATACCACTGGCTACATAAGTTCACAAAAGGACTATACCACTCGCTAATTTCACTAAGGACTATACCACTGGCTACATCTTTTCTTTTTGGGATTTTAGAACTTACCTAACCAGCTCACTGTGGACAATATTTCTTAAGCTAAATGAGTTCAATTGTGACTATACCACTTGCCTCATACGTTTACTTGGGATATATATTATGTATACCACAAGGAAAATGAATTCTTATAGGACTATACCGCTGGCTAAATTATTTTAGTGTAATAGGGACAGGGGACCCTTCCAAATGGCCAAAACAGTTAACCAAAATAAGGACGATTGTTAGAAACTATGGAGGAAATTTCCGACGGCACATCAGGAAACCGCGGCACATCGACTGCGCATCTCTGGTTTGAATGATTTGATTATAATATTAAATTTAACATCTGGACGAATGAACACAAAATATAACTGGGGAAAACGACCCTAAAGGGATTTCTTCGCCATATATGAGCATATGATAGGCATATGTGTGTACAATTTACAAAATATCTATTATTAATCAAAAATTTCGTTTGTTCAATAATTTTAAAAAAAAATTATTCCCTGTAAAACATGCACTGTTTAGAAAGCTACTAATTTTTCGATTTTTCTAAATGTTTATTTCCTATCTTTTTTTTAAAAAGTGAATCTAAACAGTGCAGGTTTATACTAGTTTACAGCGTTGTATAACAATCTATATAACAAGTACATCAAATAATAACATTTGGTATTCTTCATTGTCTCTCACAGAATGTTGGATTCCCAGAAATATTCAACGTCTTGTCATCACAGCCAGTTCTCAACAAGGTACAGGAAACATACTGGCGTGTAAGCCACACCAGTGGATAGATCGCACTCATAGGGTTGCGGGTTGTCACCGTGGGGATTTGCGGTTGACCTGAAGAAGGTCTCTCTCCCTTAGTCTCGAAGTTACAAGAACCCATTTAAACTTACATATTAAAACGAACATTGTTTAAACATGCAGCAGGAAAATGTGGATTTTAAAACAAAGGATAGCCCCGTGCTCCAGTGTAGGCAAGAACAAATGATGAAACGATTCCACGAAATTTAATATACATTATAGTAAATGACTACTCCCCAATAAATAGCAATACGCAATTATATTTATCGAAACTTTTAGAAAAAAAAAAGTGTGAACTATAAGAGCGAGTCCTTTTTGTTTAGTCATAATGTTGTTTTTTTTTTAAAGTTAACAAGGTCTTCCATTTTGTATTTTGAGTATATACAAATATATATATATATTCAATTTATACTAAGGAATTTTGAGCTAATTATTATTTTTTTTAAAGGCTTAATATAACAACTTAAATGTTATAATTTTATAGAGAAAGAATGAGTTTGTTCTCCGATTCCAGCTTTTCTGGAGACACGCATTTTTCTATGAGATTCTTGCTGCCTTGTCAGCTATTATATCTTACTTTGTGCACACTTGTAATTTAAGTTCTAAAGATATGTGTACATGTTAAGAGCAGTGTTATTCGGGGAAAAAATATTCACTAGCGATGGTTAGATCTGAACAACATTTTTCTTGACCCCCCACCCCACCCTCCCCCCTTTTTTTTTCACAGGCCACCACTTACACCGCTCTGATGCAAGTGGCCACGGGAAGTCTGGAGACGTACATACAGAACTGCCCAGATCCTTGCGCGCCTTGGTGACCAGGCAGGGGCGGCTAACCACAACTAGTTTTTAAAAGCTGTTTCCATTTAGAGGTTTAAGCCTAACAAGAGAGACAGCCAATCAATAAGAAGCTAGACCTATCATAAAATGAATATGATTTCAATAATATTCGAAGATAATTATCAAATAATAATAATACATAATAATCAAAGAAAAGAATAAAATAATAATTTTGAAAAGTTATTTGAGAAAAACAGTATTTAATTTCATCAGTATTTATACAGACAGGTTTAAGAAATTTTGTAAGAAACTTTATTAAAGTTTGTACATAATAACAATTAAAGCAGGTCCTTTAGGGGTTGTTTATGGGAAGCAATCGTAATATTTCATACAATGAAAGTTTAACATTGATAGCCCCCCTTGTATAGAAAAAAAAATTGTTCCATTAAATAGGTAAGATTGAAAACCTGGAAAATGCACCAATGTTTTCTAGTAAAATTCTCCATAAATGATATTTTCTTGTTTGGTATCTATGAAAAAACAGGTTGGCATTGGTCATGGAGTTGAAAAGAAGAAAGCGAAGCTAAAAATCTGACTAGCTTCAATTAACATAAGTTCGAAATGACATTTTCTAACCTCATGGACCTATGGAAACTTGTTTTTTTTGGGTATTTTTTTTTTGTTCTCTCGCAAACCTAGCCAAATAAAATTCAAAAAGCCTGATCCGGAGTATCTCATCAAACTAAGGATGTCTGTATCACAATAACGAGTTTATCTTCATATGAGTTTAACACATTTCCTTTTTTTAAAAAAAAAAAACCATACATTTTAGATATACCACCCCATACCCACGTGTTTTTAAGCGGCCCTCAGTTGGTGTTGACCAGAGAAACACCTCCTGGCCATTGCTTTTTAGCCATCCTATTATATGACTTGTTTTAAAATTCATTACATCAACCCATGTCAGTGTTGTTGTTTTTTGTTTTTTAAATAGCTTGTCCTTGATTACATTGCCACCACTACGCCCCCACCCAAGACAAATCCACCCAAGACACGCCCACCCAAGACACACCCACCCAAAACACAGCCACCCAAGACATTCCCACCCAAGAAACGCCCACCCAAGAGACCCCCTCCCCTTGCTCCTGGAGTAATTTTTTCTGTTTCACTTTTTAATCAATTTTCAAATATACGAAGAAATTCATGCAAATTATGACATATTAACTGGGGCATCTATCCCCCCCCCTCCTAGACGCCCCCCGCATACTATCATAATCTAATGTCATCCAAAAAATATCTAAATAAACATTATTGAAATGTTAGATATGTTTTTTCTTGTATGAAAATAATCATTTTATTATCACAATTATCCGTGGATTCAGTACAAAAATACAAGTGAACATGTTGTATCTTACATATGGCAATAGCGTTTGATATGAGAGAATACACACATGCACATGTTGTATCATACCGATGGTAATAGGGTTTTGATATGAGGGAACACACACGTGAAATGTTCTATCACACATATGGCAATAGCATTTGACATGAGGGAACACACAAGTGAAATGTTCTATCACACATATGGCAATAGCATTTGACATGAGAGAGCACACAAGTGAAATGTTCTATCACACATATGGCAATAGCATTTGACATGAGAGAGCACACAAGTGAAATGTTCTATCACACATATGGCAATAGCATTTGACATGAGAGAGCACACAAGTGAAATGTTCTATCACACATATGGCAATAGCATTTGACATGAGAGAGCACACAAGTGAAATGTTCTATCACACATATATGGCAATAGCATTTGACATGAGAGAGCACACAAGTGAAATGTTCTATCACACATATATGGCAATAGCATTTGACATGAGAGAGCACACAAGGAATACATTGTATGGGACGGGATAGCGAAATCAATAGGAAGTTATCGATCAGTAAAGTTATACAATTGTTTAAACAAATAGCTTCTACAGTCATACGTAGAACGTTGGTTTTGATTTCATCAGCGCGAATACCAACGTCATGAAAGAGTATTTATTTTGATATAAACCCATAGAGCACTGTATTATGAAACCAGTTGTAAAAAAATATATATATAAACCTTGACCCTCAGTATTGAGTTTAATTTAATTTATTAGAGTGTTTTTTTTTTGTTTTTTTTTTTTTTCACAGGAGAATCAATATTTATTGATCTAAAGAACCTGTTACGTTTTTTAACACTTTAATTGCGTCGTGTATACAAAATGACAGACTGTACCAGCGGTTCTCAACCTGTCGGTCGCGACCCTTTTGAGGGTCGAACGACCCTTTTCCAGGGTCGCCTTAAGACCATCGGAAAACAAATATACTTTACAGTTATGAATAAGCAACGAAAGTATTTTTTTTTTTGTTTGAGGTTCGCCACAACATGAGGAACTGTATTACAGGGTCGTGGTATTTGGAAGGTTGAGAGCCATTTGTCTATACGCTGAGCCTTTACTGCTGGTTTTTTTTTTTGGCACGAGAGTCACAGGCCCTAAGGTCCTCACGAGAGTCACAGGCCCTAAGGTCCTCACGAGAGTCACAGGCCCTAAGGTCCTCACGAGAGTCACAGGCCCTAAGGTCCTCACGAGAGTCACAGGCCCTAAGGTCCTCACGAGAGTCACAGGCCCTAAGGTCCTCACGAGAGTCACAGGCCCTAAGGTCCTCACGAGAGTCACAGGCCCTAAGGTCCTCACGAGAGTCACAGGCCCTAAGGTCCTCACGAGAGTCACAGGNAAACCAAAAAAAAAAAAGAAAGAAAAAAACCGCCCTATGAACATAAAGATTTATTTTTTACATTAGAAAAAATAATATTGATAAAATGTTAATGAAATGGAGGTCAGTTTTCAAATAGTACCAGGATGATTAATGTTTTTTTAAATGCGTACGTAAAAGAAAGAAATGACCACTGTTAACAAATAAATTGTCTTTCTTTTTTTCTTTCTCAAGTCATTCATGTTCACGGTGGTGAAAATAATTCGGTTCCAGGCTGATCTGTCAATGTGGGAAATTTAAGAACACCAAAGTTAAACGGTTATGGATAAATTGGACAGTGATCCATGTACACTTATGGATACATTCATGCCTGTCCTTATCCAAGGGGGAGGTCTGTACAGCGCTGGTTCCTGGCTATTTCTCGGTTGAGTTTCAGATCTCACAACTTTTCGAGACCAGCTGAAAATACTGTTGGCCCAATCAGCCCCATAAGCCCCAGGTGTATTGGATTTTAAAAAAAAACCAACAACAACCCAAAAAACTCTGATCGCTGAGACACAAGGTCGAGATGCGATCTGAACTTGAAACGTTTTAATCAAATGCTTTTCCCCCAGGAGTGTGTGCCCAAGGGCAGCAACTCCAAATTGTAATATGCGTAATTCTTTTTGTTTTTAAATGGCTTGTGTCTGCAGAGAGGGCATTGATCAACTTAACCACATTTCAATTCTCTAATGACGTGATCGGCCTTGTAGGAGCGTAAAAGAACAATACAATACGCCGGTTCGCCAGGAGCTTGCTTTTCCATTAATTACTTTATATCAAAATAGATATTAGTTCATTGATAGAGTAAAAGCTAATTCAACCTTGTTAATTTCGTTCAATATATTTTAAAAAAAAGTAAATGCTTCATATGAGATGGCGGTAATACAAAGTTAAATACATAGATATATACAATTTTCGGGCTATAAATTTATTCACAACCATAGGAGATACAAGTACATTGGCTCCGTTCCTAGTAGGCACAGCACATTGGCCCAACCATTAAATATTTTGATTGAATTTTCACATATAAAGCACTGTAAAATATGAACGCTTGTTATACAAAAATATGTAGCGTGAGCTCAAAGTCAAGATTACCTTTACAATTTATCGCCTGGATCCCCTTAATCGAAAGCACCAAGCTTATTTCTAAGTAAGGGGTTCTTAGCCTGTTAATCACGGAGCCCTTGAGAATCTTTGAAAATGTTATAGAAGATTAAATTGAGCTGTATTTTTTTGCAATTTTAATATTTCTTTTTATAAACTTATTTCTAGGAAGTGGTCTAATGCTTGTATCTGTGTCATGAAAAATGGGCCCAAGAATCTCAAACAGGTTAAGAATCCCTTCCGGTTTAAGTAATCTGCGGTATTGCTTTGCAAGTGTGAGTTATGAACTAAGAGCTTCATGCGAGCAGAATCTAATTCCGGTTATAAAAACTATGATGAAATACATCTATGACCATAAAGTCATTCAGATAGTCCATGAGAGCGTTATTTCTTTAAACACTTTCATTTTGACGAATCTACAGATAGTATTTCGTTTTGAAAGGACCGTCCATAAAGTACATCACTCACCGTAGGGGCGGGTAAAAAATTGGGGGGGGGGGGGCCGGGG